GGGTATGAAGCTTGTGGGGGGCTGTGAGTGTGGAGTATGGCAGGAGGACAGGGTGAGCAGTGGCAGTGGGCAGGAAGAGAGGGAAGCAGCAGGGGAGGGAAGTGGCAGTAAGTGGGTGGATGGGAGTGTGGGGCCCCTGCTGGTGTCCCGGGGCCAGGGCTGGTGGGGGCCCAGGTTGGGGCAGCAGGAGCATGGAGCCCCCCCTTGCACCCCCACATATGCCCCCCTCCCTCATTGTGCACAGTGCCAACCACCAGTGGCAGAAGCAGGTGGTTAAGCCTCAGGGTGCTTATGGTTCGTGGCAGGCAGAGATCCCCAGTGGGGAACAGCATTTGACTGGTAGTGCCAGCAGCGAGAGGGGCAGAGCCAGCCCGGCTCCATAGAGTCCCTGCCAGCCTGGGCTCCGTGCTCCTGTTGCCCCTACCCAGGCCTCCACTGGCCATGGCCTCAGGACACTGGCACAGGCCCCACACTCCCACTTGCCCACTCCCTGCTACTTCTTCCCACTCCCCACAGCTGGTACTGCTGCCCTTTCCCTGCTGCTTCCCTACCTTCCCTCCTGCCCGCCTTCTGCTCTGGCAGCCCATGGTTCCCGGCTGCATGGCTAGGACTGCAGAAAGTGGATCCCAGCTGGCTTCTGCTGTGCCATACAGTCCCAGCCATGCAGCCGGGAACTGCGTGGTGCTGGAGCCAGCCTGGCTCGGCCGGCGCAGCAGGAGCCAGCTGGGAACCGCAGGATCTAGGTTGGACTGGGCTGACTCCAGCTGCGCCGGCAATCCATTGTCTCCTCCTGCCTCCGCCTGTTTTTATCTGAGTTTCCACTCTCGGACAGAGGGCAGGCAGGGTAATAGCCCCACAGCTAGGCAGGAGCTTCTGGTTGGGGCTAGGGTGGATGGGGCAGGGCTGGGCGCGCCTTGCTGCCACCGTTGCTAGGTCCTGCCACTGCCAGCTTCTCCTACCACTGGTGCTTCATCAGCTTTTAGATAGGCAGCCACTGGCAGGTAATAATTTTCTAAATTTTAGAGGGGCCCTGCGGGCTGCATAGAATGGCCTGGTGGGCCAGATTTGGCCTGTGGGCCATATTTTGCCCGCCCCTGAGATATAACAACCAACCGTGCATGGTTGAATGTAATTGCTCTTCCTCCTTCCTAATAAACAGCCTGTAGAAAACTATTTAAACTAGATTGGCAGTTCATTTTCTTTGTGGCATACTTGAGAGATACTGAATTAGCATTCTGTGTTTTATAACTCTTGGAGGATAATAGCAGATTATGTGAGGTTTTACCATAGATGTAGATAAGCTTTTGTGTAGAGAATGCTGTATTTCTTACTAGTATCACTGGAAATGTTTAGAAACAGTAAATTAAGAACTGTCCTAAAACTAGTGGAATCTATAATTAATACTATTTTTGTATCTTTACACAGTGAATCTCTTCCTAACTGGGAAAATAGAAAGTGCTGTTACCTCATTAGGTAAGACATGTTTCTCTTATTTCTACTAAGCACTGGAATGTCTTGCTCTTTTCGTGTTGTTGTATGCTACCCCATACAGATCATGTTTTTGCTGAAACTGGATGACCTCAAAATTTACTAATGGATTATTAGGAAGTTTCCCAGTTTGAGATGTTGAAATATTCATATGATTATGGTATTCCACCAGAACCATTGTCACTATCCCAGATACACTGGTGAGTAGCTCGGTTAGAACTGATATTTATAACTGCCCAGACAATAGTAATATTATTACTTACTTTTATTCTTGCAACACCCTGAGGTCCTAATAAAGATAAAGGCCCATTGTAGTAGGTGGAAATAGGTCTGGACCAAAGAGCTCCCACTTAAATTTGAATTAAAACACTGCAATCAAGGGTGACAAACAATAGGAAGAACTGAGAAAGACGGAAGCTAAAGAAATGATAAGACAACATGTTTGTGTGTGTTATTTCTTTAGTGCTTGGTGCCTTCAAATCAAGTGGGGATTGAGGTAGGATTTATAACTGGTCAGGATAGGGGCCTGTGCCTAGGGGAAGTGTATGTGAAATGTCCAGTACTAGAGCACCATTTTCATAGATTTTCATACATTTCATAGACATTAGGGCTGGAAGGGACCTCGGAAGATTGAGTCCAGCCCCCCACCCTGAGGGCAGGAAGTCAGCTGGGGTCCTAGGATCCCAGCAAGATAAGCATCCAATTTGCTCTTGAAGGTGTTCAATGTAGGTGCTTGAACCACCTACGATGGCAGGCTGTTCCAGACCTTGGGGGCTCGGACAGTAAAGAAATTCTTCCTTACGTCCAGGCTGAAATGGTCTTGCAGTAGTTTATAACCATTTGACTTCGTCATCCCTTGTGGCGCTTTGGTGAACAAACGTTGCCCCAGATCCTGGTGGTCACCCCTGATAAACTTACAGGGCCACCAGATCACCCCTGAGCCTGCGCTTTTCCAGGCTAAAGAGCCCCATGGCTCTCAGCCTCTCATCGTAAGGTCTGTTTTATGTTTTGGAGCAAGTCTGACCTTTAGTCAATATTTTGTTGGGATGATTGGCTTTTGCTAGAATTTGTCATTGCATTGTCTGTTGTAAGTAAGATGACAAATTACTCAGTTCAGAATTGCAATTTGTCAACAGTTTAGTTAAAGGAATCTTTAACACTAAGATTGACTTTGTTTAAGAATGTTGATTTTGGTTAGGAACAGGAAGACATAGATAGGAATTTTTTATTTTGCTTTTTTTTTCAGTTGCAAGTTTTCCCTGGAAAATTTTGAGATACTCCAGCTATGAAACATTCTGGGCTTGTAATCTTGGGTTATTCTGTCTTTTGGCAATGCAGTTTGAATGGTGGAAAGTAAATATAGAGGATTATTGCAGTGGTGTAAGTCACCAGCACCCCTGGTTTTTCCTGAGTTTTGCAGGGAGGGCAGAGGACACTAGTATATCTCTAGAGCGGGTGACCATGTCAAAAGAATGGCATAAACAGGCCCCTGAAGGATTTATAGGTTCACTATTTGTGGGGATTCATATTAATGTTGTTCTCCAAAGGCAGAAACTCCATTGTGGGTGGGAGGAATGCAGCTGATATCTGCTTTCAAATATGACCCAAAAATGGGAAGCATCTTTGAAGTGCTTTCTTTTGAAACACTTTCTGAAAATCTGTATGCTCCAGCATCTTACAGTACACTGTCCTGTGTGCTTGCCTGGTGTCAGGAACCTCCAGTCTGGAGGCCTAGAGGCCTGTGGGGATTCCTGCTCTCCATCCCATAGAATGGTAAATCTAGGTTTATTGCAATCATCCTCGATTTTACCATGCCATAGAATGTACTGCATAACTTGGGTAATCCTACATGCAGGAAATGCAGGTTGTTTTCAGTTTTTTATGAGCTGTTTTCACTCTTGCTCGGAATTTGCTTAGATGAAATGAGAAAAAACAACTGTTGAACAGTTGTTTGAAAGTCACGGTCTTTCTGATGCAGTACTACTCATAACACCTGGAGAGCTGTCCAGGGTTATGTCTTTCTATAGAGAAGCTTCTTTTTCACTTGGATATTATGGCCAGTTGAAAATGCTTTTTCGCTTGTTTTTCTTTAGAGTCGTGGTGTTGTGCTGAAGCAAGCTTTAAAACTACAGTTCTTTACCCAGACTTTATTATAGTGTACCAAACTCTTTCTGAATACATCTTCGCTGTTTTATATGCTGTAATTGCTTATCTGTCAGCCTGATCCAAAGCCAGTTAAAGTCAATGGAAATCCTTCTACTGACTAAGTGCTCTTCCCAACAGGCTGTATAAACAGTCATCAAAGGCTGCCATGGTTCCAGTCTGCCTCTTCCTGAACTGGAGACTATTCTTGCAGACCTGAGATGATACCTGTTATCACTGGGGAATTGAGGCTACACTAATTATGTCATCTTTTGTTCCACATCGTAGTATGAAGATGAATAATCAGCATATGATGTGGCTTGTTCAAGTGCCAGGTTGTCGTTAGCTCCCCAGTGTCCCTCCCTGAAGTTGCATGTCACAGCGAAGGTCCCTAGCCTCAACAAGATGTGTGAATTTAGGTTCGATGCGACTGCAAACTTAAAAACATTTGATGTGCCTATGACTGACCTATTTTCTGGTTTGTTTCCAACATTTAGGCTTGTTAATATAAAAATAGATTTTTAAAAAGTTTGTTTATCCAAAATAGAAAGTTGAAGAATAGCTGCTCAGAAAACAGACCTTGAACAGCTCCCCACGTATAAATAGGTCCCTACTGTCATGGATGAGTTAGTGTATTGTGCATAAGGAAGAGAGAGGCGGCATCTTCTGTTGACTTATAAATACCATGGTAATAAGCAGGGATCCTGGTTTTCTCTGTTTTAAAATCTCAAATTCTCTGATAAAAAAATTCCAAAATTGTATGGTTAAAAACTTCAAAAGCCGCATTTTCCTGCAATTAAAATGAACTCTCTCTCTCGGTATCAGTTGAACACAATGTTTTATTGATATATTTACAATTTAAGAGCAGTTTGGAAGCCTACCAGTGCCTCAATCATTGTAATAAAATACATTTTAAATACCTATATATTTTGGCTTTTGATTTTGGGGGGTGGGGCTTATATCATGCCCCTTTGCTCACTAGGACACGAGCCCAGCTGCGGCTGTCCCCACTGCTGCTTTGTGGTGCTGGGCAGCTCCAATATGCCAGTGCCCCTTACTCCCAACCTGCAGCCCCCCATCCCCTCCAGTGCCCCTCACTCCCGACCCGCATCTCCCAACCTTCCTCAGTCCTGCTAGTGCCCCTCACTCCCAACCTGCTGGTCCTCATCTCCAGCCCCCAGCCCCCCCAGTGTATGGGGTGGAGGGTGTGTAGGGCAGGGGGATGCCCAGCCATAGGTGACACATTGGGAGAGCCTTGGGAGGGCCTGTGCCCTCCCAGATTAGTGCACCCACAGCTGGACATGGGGCTGCAGCCTGGCTAGACTGGCACCAGGCCGCCTCCACAGCCCAGTCGGTGGAACCCCGTGCAGGAGGGCAGAGCGGGGCGGCAAGACTCGCTGTTGCTGCTGCTGCCACCAGGACACACGTGCGAGGCGCACCACCACAGAGTAACGCCGTGCCGCCAGCGGCGTGAGGAGTAACAGACTAGCAGGCGGCTGTGCTACCCTCAGCTCATCCTGCTGCCAGCTGCTGGTATACAGGGCCATGGCTTTAACTTGGAGGGGAGTGGTGGCAGAGCAGCTGGGCC